TTAAATATTAACAGGGATTTTTTAAATACCAAAAATCTGTAACCCAGGCCAACTTTGAGGTACTAAATTGTTATTCGTTAAACACTTTTTTTCTTCAAAATTTTCGAAGTTTTGTGAAGTGAATCCCTTCAATTATATTATTAATGTAACATTGCAAGTGTTCATTTCCAATCTAACAATTATAAGCATTAATGAAATAATCGATTTATGTTACACTTACTAAAGAAACACTGAACACTGGGCACTGGACAGTCAGTATTAGAGGTAACAGTATTACACAAACTTTAATACAACAGCCAATAATTTACGTAGTTAAAAGTAGTGAGAAAAATACATAACAATCATAATATTATACTATGCCCAATGATTGACTAGAATTAATAACCTCAATATTTATTTCTCCTCACCTGAGTGAATACTCTCTAATCCAAGGGATTTTAAACAAAGAGGCGTTAATTCCATTAAATACATAGCGATTACATTTTTTTACTAAAGAGAACCTTCATATTAGAAAATAAAATAAAATACGATATAACATAACATTATAAAAAATTAAAATTACAAAAATATAAACAAAAAGAACTGTGAAAAAATTAACAAATATACATATAGAATTTAAGTATCAAATTTTGTTTTATACAAAATAATTTAGTATATTGTTTTTAAACGACAAATTCCATAATAAATATATTGTCTTTCATAAAGACGAAATTAAACATTTTAGATTTCTAGTAAACAATAAAATAACATTTATACATCATTGTCAGTGCTTAAAATAATACAAAAATACTTAATAAATATAGCCCCATTAATTGATTCAAATTAGAAAATTTATTTACATATTTATTAGACTTTTTTCATTGAAAATTACATATAATCGAATATTAAAGTACAGTAGGATATGAAATATGAAGAATCCTTAAATTGCTAATATTTCAATTTAATTTACATTGTTCATACTAGAACAAATCGAAATGCAATAAGTTTTAAACAACGATTCGAGAGAAAAAACATTTAAAAAAGAACAAATATTACATAACACACAGATCTGTTTAAGCAGAAACGACTATGGTCAGTAACACAATTGGTCTAAAAAGAAATGCAGTCATATACATATATCTTATATATCTAACGTTAGATACAAATCTGTAAGATTTGGCAACTTTTTAAGACTGAATAGGTTCAAAAACCTTTCCACCGAAAAACATTCATATAATTATTTGGCAGATGTTTTACACAGCAATGTGTTTCGCAAAATGTTTTATGCAATCCAAAATATTTACAGCTGAGCCATGTAATAAAGCTGCTCTAAACATTAAAGTTGATTAATTTAGGGTCGACTTACAAAACACTAAATGAAATATTAATAAATTCGATATGAACGCTAATACAGGAATAAATTTGAGCAAATTCATATATTAACTGCACGGAATCAAACACCGATGATATACTTTCATTAAAATATAGATAATCTACTTATACATTATTTGTAAATTAGTTTTCACATTGTCAAAAGGTGTTTTAAAAAAGTTTATTTAAATGGAACTTTTTAGATACTCGTTTTTTGTATTTTAATAGTTAATTAAAAGGAAGTTAATAAATAGGTATAAGAAAACAGATAATAAATGTGTATTTCAAAGTGTCAATGCAAAAGTTAGTATTATGTATATCTGTCAGTCCGTAAAATTGTTTTACCATACTTGCTTCTTTTTTTAAAGATAGTGGTTACACGATTTTATTTAATTATTTATTGTTCTTTTTTTGGGGGGGGGGTCAAATTTCTAGAACGATATATTAATATTGTCCATCGTGAATACTGACAATTGCCAAACTTGTTCATAGCTTATATAATTTAAAATTGTCCGTTATAAAATGTATGCATAATTGAACACGCCACTCGAAGCTGGTTACTGTTCGTTAAATATCCAAGCATGAAAACTAAACCAAGAAAAATTGTGTATTGGGAGGGGGGGAAACGCAAGCTCCTCTTAGGCAAAGATAATTAATATGTTGTCAAAAATAATTAAACAATAAGATATTTGGAACATTTAGCGCCCTTAAAAAAATTGCAATACCAAACCACTTTTGCAAAACGAATAATAACTTTAAGATGTTTAAAGCAACTGCAAAAATGAGTCTGCCACATCTTACCAATTTAGAAACAAATCTCAAAACTTTTGTTGTATTAAGAATGCAATGTTATTTAAAATAAGGATAAATAAAATAAACCTATAATAGATGTGAATGTTATAGAATTTTATGTATAATACAACATAAACTATAATGTTTGAAAGTAACAATCTTTTTTTCTTACATTGAGATTCGATTATGGTTTTTTTACTTTTAAAGTCTATTTTATAAGATTGTTTCTACCATATCACTCTAACCACTCACTACATAAGAAACAATATTTGTAATCTTAAGGCTTTAAAATTCAACTTATTCGTGAGACTAAAAAAATAATAACAAACAAACTGCATTATCTTATATAACACACGATATATTACTGTCTAGGTGATATTTAAAAAACATTTTTGAAACATTTCCCCAGAATATAAATAGTAAATTAAACAGTACAGTAGACTCTCGATATATCTCTCTCATCTGCCCCCCCCCCTTAATAGAGTTCTGGAGGGTAGGAACGTGGTGAATCGTTTACTGTTCTCAATGCTCATCGAAGAAGTTATAGATAATTTAAAATCAGAAATGGTATTCGCTTGTTAAAAATCTTTATGGAGCAATGTCATCCATGACTCAGAGAAACACTGGCAGAGAGAGAAACCGAAAGAATAACAAATTGGGAAAATCCTTGGGTGGAGAAGAATTCAATGATTTACATGAAAATGGGAAAATTTCAGTGAACATCATGAAGAACTTGCTAATGAATAATAGAAAGAACTCATCGACCAGATAATAAAAAAATTTGGAGAAATTTTTTGATTAGCACAAAAGTTAAAAAACGAAATCATAGAATATAATCCAATAGTTAAACGAAGCTTCAACGTAATTACGCTAACTCAAGCAACGGGCCATGTCCAACAAAATTTCCAGCAATTGAAAAACAGACTCCCATAACAATGTTCTTTGAGAAAAGTGAAAGAGCAAACTTTGCCGATTCATCAATCTAACTATGGAATATAATTTACCTTTTTATAAATTTGATCTTTTTTAGGCCCCTAATATATTTTCTCATTTATTTCGATGTGCGTAAGTGCATACCTGTAATGTATGTACATATTGTGTTCCTGCTTGGAAAAAAACTTTATCTACGTTACCTTACATAGTATTTTTCTTATTGAAAAACAAAAAAAACCCTGAAATATGTTCGTACTTAACATTGATGTCAGATACATGTGACACATAGTGTCTGATTAGTACGCAGATAGAAGAAAATGCTTCAAAGACTGAAATCCGAGGTGTTTCCTATTATCTGATGCTTTGGAATGTATCCCCCGTTTTTAACAAGAGTCTACTGTAGTTTTGAGTGAGTAACATTTAAACAAATTCAGTATATGCAAAATTTACAAGTGTACAGGATAAACTCGACATAACACTGATTTTTTTATTAATCTTGGATCCTTCAATAGTTAAAATACTAGAAATGATCAGCATTTTAGGCAACATTTTCTTAAAAATAATTTTCCCCTGTCCATGTTTTGCACTTTTTTCATATCCTTTAAAAAAACAAAATTATTGCTACTCAATAAATATTATTACCTTATAATTACACATTTAAAATTAAAAGTATATATTTTTGTCTCTAAATAGTAGTAATATAATAGTAAATCCGCAAAATTAGATTAAACTCGTTCCTTATTAAGAAAGTAATTTATTGCTAAAAAGCAATAAAATAACATTAAATGATGAATAAAAAAAATTATCTACACTATTTCAGTACATTCGTTCCTAATATTTTTACTGGAATAATACGATTTTAAAACGAGACAAAACATGGCACAAGAAAAATAGCTTCAAGAAAAAAAATCCATGCAAAAATTGGTGCTTAAATTTCCTAACCAAAATGTGTTTTAAGTAGCCAGCTGAAGTGAAGTATATTTTTCAATTATAATATTGCTTGAGAACTTTGCAGGAACATATTTTCTGAAAATATATTTAAGGAGAACCTCTTCTCTTGAGCTAATATTAAATGAATCTTGTTCGCTAACAATTATTAATTACTTATGTTCCTGGAAAAAGTGTAAGTAAAATTCATAAAATAGTAATTAAAAACATAATCATCTCTAACATTTAAAAAAAATTGTCTTATTAAAATAGACCTTAACAATTAAAATATAAAAATCTAACAAGGCAACAAATAAAATAAAGGGATTACAATTTGCTTGAACCATTTTTTCATCTACAAATTGATTTACAAGAGAATCAATTATAAATATTTTATACTGTCATAACAGAAAATATATGGAAAAAAATGTTAATAAACATTGTTCTTTGACCCTTAAACCATAATATGCCCTCCTACACCAAGCCAGATTAGTACCTGGCATTCAACTAGTTATCTTACTGAAATTTGGCCTTTTATGGTGACTTTAAAACATGTAATTTTTTTTTAACTGTGACATGTTACAAAAATTGCAAGAAAACTTCCTGACGCATGTTAAAACAATAAAAAATTAAAAAATAGATATATTTAAGTGATGCTTAAAAAAAAAGAAAATTTAAAGAAGGAAAGTTACCTGACTTATAAGACGTTTTTCTAAAGTTTCTTGTATAAGGTCAAAATGAATTAATTTTGTCAGTCTTGGCAGTCTGTCTATTGTTTTGTGCAAGAATGATTCCGAATATTTAATATTTTATAGATAATGACAAATATGCAGTGCAAAAGATTCTGAATAAAAATCTTTAAAAAAATTAAAACCTGTAACTGAAAAAGAACTGTTAGAAAAAGAAAAAAATTAACAATACCATCGACTCGGATAGCCTTTCAACAAATGTAATTAATGAAAGACATTAGTAATTTGGTATTCTTTCATTATAATACAAAATTATGTTGTTTATTGTAACCAAGTAATTATCCTTTCTATCGACTGGGCTAAAAGAGTGTGCAACAGTATTGAATTTTGATTCCATTTTTAAATTTGTTTTTTGTCAACCCATTAAAATGTAACTTATGAATATTAGAAAAAAACTTGAGGCTGACATATCACAGGGTAATATAAGAATATAATTGTAAAAGTATAAAAAATTGTTTTATTTTTTATTTTTTAATTTTAATTTTATACTTCAAAAGTACTGGCTTATAACTCTACCAAATACCCAACAAATGGAAGATGCTATGAAAATATTAAATTTTGTCTAAATATTAAAACATATTTAACAATTATAAAGAACAAGAAATCCTCATACAATAACACAATAAGTAATTGTATTTAAGGGTTACCATTTTTCATACTGAACAATTAAAATATTAAGAAAATTATCAGAAGCTTCCAAACCCGATATCCATACGATCCGGTTTAATTCTATCGAACATATGGTTTGGTAAATAACCTGACTGCGGATAGGAAGAATTTGAATAAGGGCCTGGATAAGGGAAATTTGGACCAGGCATATGAAGGTTGTGCGTCGTCGGATAAAAACCAGAGCTAGCATTTGAGTATGGATTAGAATACTGTGGATAAGGATATGGAATCGAAGGATTTCCTGGTGGAATATTAACTGAAGAATCTATTCTGCATGCCCTATCCAAAGAATTTGTAAATAAAGGGGGATTTGAATCAATCATTGTAGACATAGGAGGTCCCATAACATTAGCATAGGTTGAAGGAGTATAACTACCGGCCAACGAACTTACCGAAAATGTTGAATCTGTAGCTGAACTATTCGCTAGAGATGTTACTGAAAAATTACTGTGTTGTTGCATATATGAATTAGAAGTACTAGTATTATATTGAGGGCTGAAGTGTGATGATCGTGGATAGTCAGATAGATAAGCCGAATCCTCTGAATACTGAGATCCCATATGCTCACTTTCACCACTTCCAACTGTGTGAGATTGGTCATTGTCAGTTATATTTGGTATTTGGTCAACCAGCGATTCAAGGCCAGAAAGGCTCTTTGATGAAACATCTTGATTTATTTGCTTTGGTGGATATCTCACACCAGAATCAGAATCAGTTGAAAAATCATCGTAATTTTGGTAACTCTTTTTTGATTGAGGACTAGAAAAGTGACAATCGTCATCCTTCTGGTTGGGACTTTTGCTAACCTCTTCAGTAAGATTTACTGGAGGATCAAAATCCGGCGGCCCGAGGGCGGGAGATTCTGGATTTTGTTCGGAAGATATAGCTGCACTAATTTCTGAAGACAAATCTGAATGAGTAAATGACGGAGGCTGAGGTGACTGGTTGTAACCGTGAGACTGCATTGGAGATTGGTGATAACTTGTAGGGAGAGGCGATTGAGAACTTTGATTATAATGCGGTTGTTGATATAAGGGGAAGTTCTGCATATTTGGTGATTGAATAGGGGGCGAAAAACAGTGGTTAGGTGGGTTGCTATGTTCCGAAGGAGGCTGGGGTATATTCTCATTGTCGACTTTTATCTTTTTTGGCCTTCCTCTCTTTTTTTTGGGAACTCCCTGTTTGTCTTCGACTTTCGGTTTCGGCTGTTCTTCCGGTCTTGGTTGTTCACCTTCCACTTTAATCTTTTTAGGACGTCCTCTTTTCTTCTTCGGCTGAACTGGTTCATCATCTTTTTTACCCAAATTACTTATATCTGTCAAATCGGCATTTACTTTGTTGTAATTATAAACACATTGTCCATCTTTACCTTCTTCCTTTATCTCAGGTTCAAAAAAGTTTTTTAGTTTTGAATATGAAAAAACTAGTTCCTTATCATCAATTTCTGGCACTGCACCATTTAAATAATCTCTAAACTTCTTCAGTGCAGCATAAAATGGGACTTTATCAGCTGCTCTTGGAAGCTGAGCACAACGAGCACTAGATGACGGCATAACCCACATGTACTGAAACAAACAAAAATACATAGCTTTAAAAGTTAGCTTAAGAAAGAAATAGACAATTAGAGCATATTTTAGTAACATGGAATAATGAAAGCTAACAAGTTGACTGTGGAAGACGCAACATGTCCATCACGCTAACTCCCCTTCTGGAAATGGTGGCCAGGTGATGGGGCTCTGTTCACGAGCTGATCAAAAGAGTTAATTCACTTTACTGAACGATGAACCATTCTGAGGGAAAAAAGAAATGTGGCAACTCGGTATCCCCTCCACTCCAATACACCAACTCTTCAGTGATTGCAGCTTGATTTTGAATGTTGTCTTCACCACCACTCAGTAATTTAACAAGTGACTTCACCCTGTTTGCCCCTCCAGCTGCTCTTCACTCCAAATGCTCTTCGCTCTCCTATTTCATTCTCCAGGCCATCTACGGTCTGCCTTTCTGGATTCTTGCCCATTCAAGTTTCAACACCCCGCCATACCAAAAGCACAGCATTGAGCATTACTCTAGCTCTTATTTATTAATTTTAGTATTTAATTAAGTACAGGTTATACCCAGTTACAAGAAATCACAATGTTTACAGATGGGTTCTGTAAGTTTAAAAAAAGTTTGTTAATTTAGTTTTATTTTATTTTAATCAAAATATTTATTTACAATATATGTGCCCTTTTATTGGTTTAGTTTTTTATGTTATTTACTCATTCACAAGAAAAATATAATAAAATTACAGTGTTGGCAATTATTATGTGAACAAAATGACAACTGTTAATCTTTATTTGTATTTTATTGATATTTAACCAATTCTATATAATTCAGACAATTATTTTTTCTTTTTTAAATAGCTTGTTTTGTTAGCTTCACAAGGGGTTAGGGCTTCTGATGGGTCCTGGGTTTGAATCCCGACATAGCACATAAATTTTTTATTTTGAATAATATTGAGGAGAAAGTGTAAAGTAGTTTGGCCATTCTTCCACAACACCCAAGTGGAAGTTGAATGTTAAACCCTTCTGTATGTCTTCTCTTTCTTATAAGCAATATCAAGGAGTTTGGTCATTCTTAGATATTTTTACCAATTAGTTGATTGTGTATGGTGTAAGAGGACAAGGAATCAAATGATCTTGATTCGATCCTTCAAAAGAGCAGTTTTCCCCATCTTTACGGTCTGCTGTTTTAATTTTAAACTCTCCCTCCAATTCAACTGCTGCACAATTCCATTTGAAATTCATAAAGCCGCCTCAGAAAGGGTAAAGGTAGCGCTACCATTGTTTATTTATTATTTCTTTTTCTTTTCTTTTTTTAGATGGAAGTTATTTTTTCATTTGCTCTGTGCAAATCACATAATTTGTTTTTGTTTATTTGTTTAGTTATTATTATTATAATTTTTTAATGGCCTTATGAACTTAGTATATTAGCCAAGGAGATGTGTACATAAAGCACATGCATATTTCTTTTTTTTTTAGGGGAGAGTGGTCTGTGGGAATCGAATCCACGACCACAGTGTACAAGCTGAGAATCTGAGAATCCTCGGCTACCTGTGTTAGGCTATTTGACTTAATTGTTTACCCATTTTGTATGATTACAACTTTTATTTAACTTCACACCCACATTGAACAAGTGTTCTCTGGGTTGCCTACTTCATTTACTTAGTGCTGCGGAGGATGCAACTAGAGGGTTGTATAATTTATATCACTAGATAAACAATAAAAAAAATTTGCATTATTTTTAAGTAACCGAAAAACTAGTTTATGTGACATACCACCGTGGGCAACCAGAATGACCAAGCTGTGGCTGCAGTCAACACACTAATCAAAACTAACATTGAATTGGTGTAATTGCAAGAGAAGAATACATAGAATAAAATATTGTGTAAAACCAGTACTATAAAAAGTAAATAATTATATTAGAAATTTTTTATATTCAGACTTACTGTATTAGTTCCATCTACTAATTCAGGTTGTCGTCCAAAGCTAAAATCCTTTTTTCCAGAAAATACTTCAAAAATAAGTTTTCCATTGAACACTGCTATTTTGGGTTTAAACTTCTGCAGTTTTTCTAATAAAATTTGACTACCTGTAAGAACAAAGGATATTTACAGGTGGAAAACACAGGTGCTTGTTAAATCCATACCTTCTTTGATTTCTTTCCTTGTGAGATCAGCGCTGCCTTTTGTCGCTCTTTCTACCATATTAGTGAAACCGATTCCTACTTTAAGAAGTTTATAGTCGTCATCAGCAGTCATTGGCTCTGGTGTCAGACCAGACAAATAAAGGCATTTCCCTAGAAAAGAAAATTCACATCGTTTTATAGATTTTAATTATTTCACATAATGTAATCATAATATTGTAACCAATTTCAATTATCAAATTACTGGCATGTGCCAAAATATTTATTAACCAGTGTAGTATATATACAGATAAATATATGCATTGGTAGGTATACTAAACAAATACAATTTAAAAAAAATATATATACGTATTATGCAGATATAAATTGAATATTATATACTAAACACATAACAAACCATATGTGACACTAATGTGCTGAAAGAAGCCGTAATGATCTTGCTAGCTTATCAATCTAAGCTAGAATATACACTCAAAGACAAAACCTGGACACTCGTTTATTTCACACTATACGTATTTTATCATTAATTAATTACAATATACTTATTTTTGGTGACCAAATAAAATATCAGAAATTCATGAGTTTTAATAAATAAATAAATTCATAAATTTTAATAAAATAAAATTATTTGATTTTGATGGTTTGAAAGCAAGTTCAACAAAGCATGGGCATTCATTTGATGATAAATTAGCATTTAACTAACAATTGCCTAGTGTTCCTCCTAATACCTCGAGTTACCTCCTGTGGCCTCACGGAGGGTTGTAAATCTACTAAGTATCTAAGCAATCATATTTCATCTTGTGAAACAGAATCCCATTCTTCGTTTGAAGCTGTTCAACAATTATAGAGGCAGCGAACGATTCTTACCCGTCTCTTCATCATGTATCATGAGTCATTTGAGATTCATGACAGGAGCTTGGCCAGTTCACAGTTATCCTTCTCCAACTCGAGCTACATTCTGTCGAGCTTTATCATGCATTAACATGATATTGTCCCCAATAAATGGAGCGAGTGGGACCGCAACTTCTTCAATGTAGTTTAGTGTAGTCAAAAATCCATTCTGTATCATCACTTAGGCCTTAGGGCAAGGACATTCCACATTATACCATAACTTTCCTTGAAATGGCTGTGACTCACACATGCCACTAGAAGCAGTGTTCTCCACACGCCGTCCCTGTCATCTGATTGCCACAAACCAAACTGACACTCATCTGTTAAGCCAGTCAGTGACAGCCCCTTCCATTGTTTAAGATTCCCAGCGAGATGCTGATTTATGAATGCCTTTTTACCTAATACCTCTCCAGAGAGAACCTGATGCAAGACGTTTTGAGACCAGGCTATTCTCAACAAGCCTTCTGATGAATGTTTTAGAGTTCACTCTTACATTACGGACTGTTTGTACATGACTGCCTTTCAAGGAAGCCATTAACGGTTCCGTAGTGCGGTTAGGATAAAAGGATTCTAGACGTCTTGCATCGCGGTTGACCAATACCTTCACATCGATCGAGACTTCCTGAGGCCCTGTGAACTGTTGTAAACCATTGTGAATCGTACAGCACAGCACATCCAGAAATGTGCTATGCTACATCCATCGTTGGAATCTGCCCAGGCAAGATCTTAACTTAAAATCATGCTTTTAAGAAAAAATAAATAATTTTTTTACTCAATTTATTGTTTCATCAAAGAAAACAATTTAAAAAACCAATTAACATGTTCAATACAGCACTGATTTGTAAAGCCTCTCCCGTGATATAAAAGTTTTTTCTAAAAGGTCAACGTTGACTACCTTAAGGCCTGTGACACAAATTGATTCCAAACCCCCCCCCATATACCCTACAAGCTTTGAAAGTGGGGGTTTAGTGCGTTGTTCCAGAACAATGGTTATAACAAATGAATTAACTCACTCAATAAGTTGGCTCTGGAAAGGATGAAATTGAACTGATTTTCTTTATTTTTAATCAAAGAATTATAAAAAGATTATTATCATTCTTATTAATTATTTATTAGTTGTTTTAAACTAGTTTTTCTTTTAATGGGAGAAGGCTTAGAAGAAAAATTAGTATCATGACCAGGACTCGAACCTACGAGATCAGTACTTAAGCGCTTCTACCACTTGAGTTATCGCAAGTTCAATTCTTGAGACACCAAATCCTCATCTCAACTGACTACTATTTCAATTTACCTCGTTTTAATGCCATTTTTCAAACATGTCATTATATAGCTGATCAATGAGGTTATCAATTAACTAATGGGAAATTATTGATATAATGTAGGAAAGGCAGTACCCTGGTGCTTCTAAAAAAACAAACAAATAAATACATGTCCAGTTTTTGTCACATTGAGTGTTATTTGTAAAGAAAAAAATTAAAATAAAACTAAGAAATGAAAGAAAAAAAGCAATGATGTACACTGTATACAAAAATACCAATACGATAATATGTAATCAGTTTTACCAATGACAAAAGAAACACAGCCTGGTAAAATTATTTAAATAGTGCACTTTTACTTTAATGTGTTGTCAGCTGATAAATAATTCAGTCAAACTTGTTTTCTTTTCTTACAAGCACAAAGTAAACAAACAACAATATAATGAAGAAATGCATCAATTTAAACAACTTACAAAAATGATTTCCTGGCCCAGCATAATGATGCCCTTTATAAGCAGCAAATAGTCCTGGATTTATTCCGATCTGCAATAAAATTTGATGAGTTTTTGTCAATAATGTAATAAATATGTAATAATAATGCATATTATTATATTATTTATCGCATTAAAACGTTGACTGAGGGCCTATCGTGTATCAATACAGGCTGAATTGATTTAAATGATGAGATTTTCTCATATGGTCTAAGGGTTAATGAACCTGTAATTTGGTCTTTACCATTTGGTCAATCACTGGGCTGATCTGTCAGATGCGTTTCAGCATTTCACCATCTTCAGTGACTATATTTTATAAGGGGTGTGCATACGGGTGTTTGTTTGTCGATGCCTTTGGTGGATTATGTTTTTTTTTTTAATTTTATTGTTCCGGTCAGTCTTTGTAATCATCGGTCCTTTTTCTTTTTGATCAGTATGGAGTTTTTAGTGGCATAAATATTAATAGATGTATATGGATTGTTGTTAATTTATGCGTATTTTAGTATCCCTGTTTGCCTTTTTTGTACATGTAAGTCCTACTTATCCGTATTATCGAGAGTTTGTGATGGTTTTCTGTGAGGTGAGTTGCGTAATTAAGTGGTTTAAAGTTTCAACAGCCAGGTTGATAAAGTCGACAACTGCAGTCAACAGTGTTAAGTTAATATTAAAACCGAATGCCTTCATTGTGTGTTATATATAATACAATAAACTAAAATATTATATAAACATATTCATTAAATTAAATACTGAATGAATTTACTAATGTTTTAGTGCATCCCTCCAAGATCCAGAGCTGGAGAAGAGGCGTCATTTTTACCGACTCAGAATAGACGATTCGCAGTCAACACAATAATCAAAAATTTGTCATGACCAGTAGCCATGCCCCCCCCCCCTGTGGGTATGATAATCTCGAACACTTCTGAAAGTTTCTCAATTTTTCCCATTTCTATCTTGGTTAGTTGTTTTCGGAAAGTCAATAGCAATTAAGTCAATATTTTTTTACACTAATTGCATATATAATTTAAAGGGTGAAAGAGGAATATCGAGTATTCAATCTTACTTTTGGAGTAGGGGACGGTGGTGGCAGAGTGGTTAGGGTGTCCAATTCATATTTACTCCACTAGTGGTCCTTGGTTCAAATCCTGGCATAGCCCATAGATTTTTAATTGTGTATATGGAAAGTATTGTAAAGTGGTTTGTCCTCTCATCCAAGACACCACATGGGTAGTTGGATTTAAACCCTCCTGTATGACAGGAATTACTTTACTTACTGGAGTAAATTATATACTTTCGAAGCTGATGATTTTGGTCTGTAGGTTGGTGAATACATGTTGACCAGACTGGTTCTATCCAATAACAAAACCCATGTATGTAGACGACCCCATGCTAATTATAAACATATAAATTGTAAGTATTGAGGAGATTTAACCTAGTTAGTGATACTCCCGAGACTTCAGTGGGCACAAGATATACTGCCAACAAAATCTATGTTGGTAATGGTCAAGGCTTACCATAAAAAATCTGAATGAGGTGGCAGTGGGTATTGTAGGCACTCTTCTTTTCTACAATACCCACCACCACCTCATTAATTGATCACAGCCACAAATTATGAATAAAAAATCTGGTTGTTGTATTTGCATATTAACATTTGATGAGATAACAACCTTGTGAAACCATAATTACAAAAAGCAACGGTAATATATGTTATGTCGAGCTTTCCTGCCATAACTTTAATAATAATTTAAAGGTGATCAACCACCTGGGTCATGTCCGCCTAGAAAGATTTAAGGTGGGGGGGGCAGCAAAAGGTGCCAGGAGGTGGTTGCCAAACAGCCCAACAGCCAGGGCACCCACAGCTCAGATCATCAGCTTGCGTTCACTTTGTCCACATTCCCAGGATCACCCAGGGTTTCATGAGAACCCAGCTGGTCAGTGGAGCGACAAAGCCCCAGCCCTGACCTGCAAGTGCCCTCAATTCCCTTGGGGGTCCAACAAGTGTTTTACATTTTATTTACTAGATTTTCACAATCTAATATCAACATGGTAGATTGAGTTTGTACGCTTCTGCCTGCCTCATAGATGGGATAATCAGTTAAAATGTGTTTCATGATCAATACTTCAACGCGTGTTGACACTCTGATGGTGGATCCCTTGCCATAAGAAAACTTTGGGTAAGATGTGCATGACCATCTTTACTTAACATTGTCAACTTAATTTCCTCTAATCCAAATTTATGATCTCCAGGATTTAACTACTTTTTCAGTTTGTTATTCGTTGTGTTGTCCCATTTTTGTTCCCAAGATAGCCATATTTCCTTACGGTTGCTGCCACATCAGGTGGTATCTGCCCTAACTTTAAATACACTGAATAATTAATGAATTTACATCACAAGGCATGAAAAGTGTAATTAAAATTAATTTTTATTTTTAAATCTTAATCCTATGAGTTTGAATATAGTGTTTTACCATTTTTACTAATTTGCCCTAGGTATACTAATTAATGTGTTAAAATAAAAATAAAATACTTACAATAACAATATCTAAATTTTGTGTTAAATGATCTGGCAGAGTCCTCTTCGAAACTTCCTCTTCAGGCATTCCGTTAAAACGATCGTGTTTTTTTCTTTCTTTTACAATTTTCATACTGCTAGGATCTTTTATAGGACTTTGTAGACATCCCATTATACCCTGATAACCCATGCTAAAAAAATGAGATTAATGTTAATTTTAATTTCATTAATCATTCAAAGAAGACTTGAATTTAATTTATTTTTGGAATATTTTAGGCTAATAAATGTAATGAAAAACAATCATATAATAGACACAAATTAAATTTTACCCATGTTGGTTATGGCTGTGTAATGGTTGCAACTCTTCTGTTTTTATTTTTTTCTTCCGGCCTCTTTTTTTTGGAGCTTGCTGCATTATGAGAGGAGGACACTGCACCGGTGCCATCATATGGTCATCATCGACAAACGAATAAGGATCGTCCTGCATTTCATATTTAATCATGTTTCCTTCACCTATAGGATGATTTCCCATTTTTTGCACTAGCCCCATGTGGTTAGGAACATGATGATGGTTTGGAATATCCACATCACCTCCTCCTGCTGTTTCATAACCATCATCATGTGGCGGTTCCGTTTTTATTAAACCATTACCATTCTCTTGATATCCACCTCTGTAGCAGTCCCTAAAAGCAACAATAAATCAATTAAAGCGTTACAATAAGAACTTTTTTTGTATTTATTATGATTTTTAGATGCGAAAAGCAATGGAGATAACAGAAAGTGACGATCTAGCATGTTACACATAAAAGGATGTCACCCAGCAGACACAGCAGTGCCAATGTATGCAGTTAGCACACAATATCTGAGGTTGGATGGGTTTTCCATTGAAAAAGAAATAAACAAGTAGATTTTCAGAGTATAAAAGATAATGAGGGTGGATTTGGTTTTGTTAATTTTTGTTCTCCATTTGCAAGACCAAGAATGAATAAGGTTTTAATGGGGTTGGGTGTGACTAGCTAGAGAAGGATAAGGATTAAATGCCAGGTTGACTGTCGTCAGCAAAAGAGCATACAGTATTGTTAGGGAAAACAGTTATGTTGGCTTAGTATATTGTGAATAGGAAGGGCCCCAGGATGCTGCCTTGGAGGACACCCACTTCAATGGGAAAAGAAGAGAAGGCAGCACCTTGAGCGAGGCGGCAGTAATGCCATACCTGATCAAATGTTTAAGCCACATCGAGAAAGACAACCAAGCAATACTGTTTCTATTCAAGAGAGGATGATAAGTGACAACAACCTGTTGAATAGTGGAGTGAAACGAGTGGAACCAAACTGTCGGTGAGGCAGAATATTAGTAGTTTCAGCTATTGATATAAATCTTTTTAGGAGAAATTTTTCAAGGATTTTGCCTAGGACAGGAAGGAAACTAACATGACAGTAGGAGTTTTGATGTTGGGATCATTTTAATTACAAAATATTTCCACTGTATTAGGAAGTATGCTGTTCTTATTCAATGGTGTAAATGTATGTCTAGAAAGTGAAGACTTTTTTTTGTTTATTTTTACAGTACATTGATCGTAATCAGGTCCTGGGACTTTTTGGGAAGGTAAGTTTTTAATTATATATTTAATTTCTTAAGGAAGAAAAGGCTTGGGAGGTAATGGAAGCAGGAAGGGTGAATTTATGTGTTGTTCAACCTCGGGAGTGTGGTTGGTATCTATATGTCTTGGTGATGAGTGAAAATATCAGACATAGTCAGCAGCGAAGAGTTGTGCTTTGTCTTCATCTGTTTTGGCTCTTCTTTTTTTTTAGTGTTTAGAGTTTTTAGTGTGCAGTATTATTGTCCGCTGTCTCCATATTGTCCATATATTGTCAACAGTATTATTCAGCCACAATAACAAAATTAAAAGGCACATTTGACACAATGAATATTTTAAGTAGTACTCAATGCCAACACTTTTGACATCATGAGTATAATATTCCTATTTTCATATTTCCTTCAGAATATGTAACACATTGTATCAAATGTTATTTATTATTACGCCTTCTGTTACGTAAATTGTGTTTTTTAGGAAAAAGCTATTAAAGAATTAGGTCAGCTTTTTAGTATCTACTTTTGAACGCTTAAGAGACATAAAACATTATTATGAAATAATTTTATTTTTTTTAGTCAGAAAAATTTCTAGGAAATAGTTTACTTCCTTTTTATGATAGCTGAGAAACAGCCGATGTCAATTTTTTTCTAATACTATAACTAAACAAAAGCTTATCTTTTTTGTATTGGTGCCAGGGTCACTGAATGTATTGACAATATGGTCAAGAGGCAATTGAAAATATTTCATACAACAGCACATATAAATTTAATTTAGCATTTTGACTTTAAACTTTTATAAAGGACAGCTTAAATTAGTTCTAAAATAAATTTATGTATCTCTGCAGCCATGTAAAACTGATTTCTATTGTAATTCAATTCTAACACTATAAAATGATACAATTGATGTTCGTTATTTAATCTGCCAATAAGATTTTCATAACAAAACTCTTAGAATGAACTAAAATTTTTAAATCAAGTAAAATTTTCAATAAAATTTAATTTTTGAAACAAATTATTGAAAAAGTCGAATTTTTTCTCCTATCAAAATATTTTCAAAAAATTGCACGTAAACTGCATTCACAATTGCAAAGCTTATGGTCTTGTCTCAAGTGCAAAAATGCATTGAAATTTTATAAGCAACCAAGTAAAAAAAAAATATTATATTTATATGTATGTAAAAAATATGTAAATTGACATCCTTAGATATTTTGTCATCTTTTAAATTACAAATGCGAATTATTAACCAAGGACAAAGCAGTTTTTGTAAGTTTATGTAGCATTTAGGTTTGTCAATTTGAATTTTTAAAGTAAAAACTGTAAGAAAAATAATGACTTTTTTTGTGGGGTTGTTCTAGTATGGATTTTTTTTTAAACGAGGGTTCACAACAGCAGATGTCATATAAACCCTCGGGATGCTGGTGTTTTTGAAAAAAAAAAAAAAAAAAAAAAAGCCCATTTGTAAGTATGTTGGGTTCGAATGCAGGGCAGCTGGTTCAAACCCAGGACCTTTGCCTTACAGTGATGAGCACTGTGTCAACACCTAAACCGTTGCGGCCACCGACGCTGCCACTTCAGGCTTTATAATCCAACATAACCAGGATATTTTATATTTAATTAAAATTATATAAAAGATAACTTATACAACCTATTTTGTTTGTTTTTCTACTGTTATTTTGAATATGTTCTATAATTTTAACAATAAAAAATTTGTTAGGCAGGGACACTGTAATCTTCAATATATTATGAATGTAATACTCATTATATTGAAAAGCCAACATCAAAATTGCTTCACTCATTAAAAATATGAGACATTATAAAAATATAAGCTATACAAGCATGTTCAATCTGTAATGTTCAGCTTAAAAATATAAAGTTTGGAACAAAAACCCAGAACTTTTGGATAAAACAATATTCCAATTAGCTGTCTGGGTGCTTTTAACCTAACCATGAAGCCACCCTCGCCACCCTTGGTACGCATCAGCGCATACTCCGTTGGGTCATTTTGTTACTCATTTTCTACCAAATTATAAGCTTGTGTTACATGTGATTTTTTATATCGGCTATGAATTGAGAAAGAACTATTGTCAGGTGTATGAGATGATAAGAGGAGTATGAGTAACTGAGAACATTAATGATCTATACAGTGGAGTAGCCGCAGGACAAAGAATGATAAATTTATAATACCCAACAACCCAACGGACCTGAGTATTGATTATTAAGCATAAGATAACACAGTTCAAGTCTAAACGACACTGTATAGATTACACAGGTGATTGATTGTCAATCTATCAGATTGAATCAGATGTCATCCAGCAAATACTGGGGATTGATTTAACTGATTTAATTTCAATATGTTATTGCAATCTGCAATTTCTGATTAATAAGTAAGTAGTTGATGATACATATATATATTAACAACTATTTACATATTTACATTTAGGGGAACAAATAATCAATATTATTCTCCTACTTCAGTTCCCTAAATAAAATTCACCACCTACTTCTCAGAAAGGAGGTCGTGAGGCTATTTCCTCTTGAGACGCCTTATGGGATTTGTAGGGAATGGGTTCTGTTGTACAAGGTTTGGGCGAGAATATTGGGGTGGTGGGATAGATTATAGTGGAACTTGTAAATTTTTTGGAAATTAATTTTTGGATGAATGGAATTTTAAAGCCATTATGGAAGGAACATGTGAGACATAATACCTCATTTATAGTTGATCTGAGGGAGGACTTTTGATTGAAAAAAAAATGCAGTGCACCCTGAGGATGTATGTTAATAGAAACCAGTCAATGCTGGGACTCAATAGGAGGGGTTAAAGGGCAACCTGACGGGTTTTCTGAATAGGAAAGTACGACTTGGGCAGTATGGATGGATTGAAACCTTGATGTGCAAGATTTTGGAGTGGGATAAGATCACCACAGACAAAAGAAATGTTGAAATCGGAGTAGACAGTGAAGTTAGTGACGTAGTAAGTGCCTTGGACAATTTGTCTGAAGACTTTTGATAGGAAAAACTGGATGCGTGGATGTTGGAAGGTTTAATAGTTCCCCATAGTTCTATTCCATATGTCCAAATGAGATATAGTAACGTTCTGTATATTATCACTTCATTTTTTGTCGATATCTTGGATTGCCGTCCTTAAGTTTGTAGAATATACCATAGTGTCTGTTTAGGACTTGTAGTTTCAGTCATATTCTGATTCCATGTTAAGCATGAGTATAAATGGAACCCAACGAAAGCGTTGGATTAGGGGATAAGAACATTGTAGTAGACTGTGAGAGATTTGCTTTGGAGTGTAATTATGACATGGACGCCTCGCTTTCATTTATCTTCATTTACATTGCCTACACCAATCTGCTATACACGTGATATGTCTCTGCAGAACTTCTGAAGCAACTGCAGTATCATGGTTAGAGGATAGTACAGCAGTGTGAGGATAGTGTCATCAGCAAAAGATGCAAGGAGGGTGGTAGATTCAGTGGGGACATCTGCAGTATATAGAGGTTTGTACGCCGTTACTCCAGCAACCAGATAATCAGTGTAATCTGATCCTTGTCAGACTGTAACACTATATTAATCTTAATTATTGAATAAGACAAAGATGCATCAATAGCAGATCTAACATAACAACTATACTCGACTTTTTTTTTTTTTTCAAACCTACTCTAGAGAAATTGCAAACTGTGACCTTTGCCAAATTTGTTGTTAATTTGAAGCATGCCACTTCTTATCAGATTTCCTTTTGTACATTTTAATATCATTTTTGATAGTATTCACATCCAAACTGAACGGACACAAACCATTACCATTATTTTGTTTAATCAGTGAAAACATTTAAATCCCAAACTGGTCATTTGGTGGGATCCTGAATCATGTCAAAGGTTTTGGTTAAAGTTGTCTATGTACCAGTGTCCAAAATTCTAGTTGTATTTGAAGACAGTGAGTGTGTGTGAAAGAGAGAGAGGGGGAGAAAGACAGTGAGTGAGATAAAGAGAGAAAATGAGTGAGAGTGAGTGAGTTAGAGAGAGAAAGTGAGTGAGACAGACCTAAAGAAAGAGAAATTCTTAGTGGTCTAAGTTCGTAAAGTTGACATTTGGTTGTTTGTTTTTTTGCCAAAATTATGTACTAGTGAGTGAGTGAGTGAGAGGGAGAGAGTTAGAGACCAAAAGAAAGAGAAATTCTCAATGGTCTGAATTGGTAATTTTTGGTTGTTTGATTATTTTTTTGACAAAACTATGTACTAGTGAGTGAGTGAGAGTGAGAGAGAGAAAAAGAATGTTGGGTTTTAAATATGTTTGGTTTTACCTATATTACAAATAAATAAAGGTCCATAATAATTGTACGCAGCAGTCAAATGACACATCGAAAAAGTTTTGAATCAGTTTGAAATACAATTTTCACCTTCTGTCAATAGAGATTTAATATGAGGTTCTTAAGGTAGATACAAAATACAATTTACACAATCCAGACAAGGAGTTTCTGCAGTAACCAAGAAAAAGAGATATTCTCAGTGGTCTACGTTGGTAACGTTGACATTTTTTTTTTTTTGTCAGAAGTGCCAGTGAGTGAGATCAAAATAAAAGAGATATTTTCAGTGGTAGAAGTTGGTAAAATGGAAATTCTGATAAACGGTGGTTTGATTTTTTTTTTTTTTTTGCAGAACTAAAAAACTGAAATTATTTTCACTTCTCAAACGTTTTATTAACGTGGGATTTTACTTTAAACTGCCCGTTTCCTACTCTCCAGGATAAAGGATGACCCGTCCTTGTCACATTGTGGTTTCATGGAGGGGGAGGGAAACGAATTTTTACTTTTTTGTTTTTTAAACTTTTTTCAAACCGTAATTTTACGCGAAAGGGATTTGTAAATGGCAAGAGAAGCGATGTTGGGGGCGTCGTGTATATTTTCCCTCGGTGGCCTTCGTCGTCGAAACTTTTTTTTTGCTGTCAGTCACCGTCTATTTCGGTAAATCGACCCCGAAAACGTATTCAGCTTGACATTTCTTAAGAAAGAGGTTAAATTTTGGTAATGCATTCAGGAGGAAGGAGTTAAGGAAAGTTTTTGAAAGAAAAAAATAAAAAATAAAAAAAATAGAAAGAGAGAAAGAAGGACGAGCCAACGTCATGGCCCCACCAATGGCCGAATGAATCTTTTGGAGAAAAGATGAGACTTTTGTCATTTTCGGCCCTGGGACTTTTGTCAGAATTGAGAAAATTGAACGTTTCGACCTTGTCGGACTGGGTACAACAGGGCCGACGGACAGGCCCGACGATCGTCCGTAAAAATCTCCAGCTCCGGAAAATCGGGCAAATTTATAATTTCGATTTTCCGGAAAATGTCGAGGCGGAAATGTTAAAAAAAAGTCCGTCTTGGCCTTCGCCAGGTGTCAAGACTGGAATCGTTTACAGGTCCCGAGTCGGATAGGCGAGGCCAATTGTTTGTTTACATAATTATTATAACAGTTATTAATTCTTTATCCGCCGTCGAAAAAGGAACGTGGGCGTTTTGCCGGTGTGCCAGAGATGGGCCGTTATAAAATGCGAGCCCGAATTCGAGACGAGGAGAGGAAAACTTTCAAAAAACGCAGTAAAACGTCGAAGCGGGTTGACGAAGCGACGTTATGTCTCGTAAACGGGTCTCAAATCTTGGCCCTTGCGGCTGTGACAACCGGGAAAATCGCCGTCGAGGGCCTTCTCGAATCCTCGGAGGCCCCTCCGACCAGTTGAAACGTTGTAAATTAATAAGAAACTCACAGTTTAAGTCCAGTCCCTTCGGGCGCCTCCATACCAGCCCCGAGTAGTGTCGTCGCCTCTCGAAATAAAGTAGCAACCTGCATTTTTATCAACACTTATCGCACACGGTTTCACAGAAGCCGAACCGCTAAACTCGCGGTTTTCCTTTTTAAAAGACCTAATGTACAATTTACATCGTTTATCGTTATAAACTATCGGACATTAAAAAAGCTCGCTCTACGGGAAAAAGTCGTGGTCTTTCTCATTGGTCGGTACTCTTGTGAAAAATCAATAGAAGATCCACAGCTGACTTGATGAAAAAAAAACGCACACATTCAAACTTCAGAGTTTGAAGCCTTTTTTTAAACGTGTACACGTCAGCGACTGTCTCCGATGAGAGAGGAACAAAACGATATAACTGAGCCGAAGAGGAAACCGAGCTTATTTAATATTAGGAGGGGTTAGGCCTGACTGATGGAAAACGGCCCGCCGGCCTCGGATTACACTAAAAGACCAAATAACACAAAACGGCGACTCTCAGCCAATGCTAAATTTAGAATTACGGGCTAACAAATTGAGACAGACCTGTCGATTCCGCCGCTATTTTCCGGATAATCCTTATTAAGAGGACCGTCTGTCATTAAGCCGGACGACAATGGCTCCAATACATGATTTAACTAATCTATCTACGTCTATCCGCTCGCTATTCACTATCCCGTGCACGTTGGCCGGCCCGTTGGCGGGACCCGCCCAAATTCAAACGCACCACCTCTTTACATGAAACAACATCATTATTATTAATCCATTTATGTTTAGTGGTCTAATTCACCAAATTACTTATTTCAATTAATTATTCTTTCTATGTAAGGTCCTGGTTGAGATGAAAAAGTTAGTCGTGGGTTCGAAATCCCGCTCGTGACACTAACTCTTTCATCTCAACCAAGACCTTACATAAAAAGAATGATTAATTGAAACTAATATTATTATTATTTATTTTATTTGTATACATTCAGCTGAGTTGTTACAATGGTTTTAGGACCTGAACACTTCTGTGGCATAGGAATCCACACTATTAACGAATATCACAGACAGAAGGACAAAAAGAAAATGAGGGAGCTTTGGAATTCACTCATTGGACATAGACAATCCAATCTTCTAATCAATTTTGGTAGGAAAGAAATCACAGAATGTGTCCAATGAAGCAGGAACAGACTACAGGATTCCTAACAGGACACTGCAGATTAAATGGACACTTAAAGAAAATTGGAACAATCCAAGATGGCACATACAGATTCTGCAAGGAGGCAGAAGAGACACCAACACATTTACTAACAAACTGCGGAGCTACACTAGCCAGCAGGAGGAAATGTTTTGGGATGTACAAAGTGACCATAGAAGAGCTTCAACCACTGAAACCGGGCCTATTAATCAAGTTTCTTGATGAAATAGGATTCACCGATGTGCTTTAGGCAGAGCACCATGGATACAATATCTCTTAAAGGGCGCAGTATACCATACCCTGAAATTACATCTAATCTACAATGGTTTGGGTTTACAAAACTACCAGGGATACAACAGGGCGTCACAGGGAAAGAGCGTAAAAATTTAGTAGAACCTATTTGAAACAATTTCCAACGTATACCCTATACCTACTATAAAATAGTTTCAGTCTCTGACAAGTTACGGTGTTTTGTCAGTTTTTCCATGGAAACGTTACCTTAATTGAGAATAACACAAATATATCATCAAGGTTACCACAGTTTTGGATTCACCATTAATTTCCTTTCTACTATTTTCGTCTGAAATAATTTTCAATAAAAATCCTTAATATAAATGCTCAAATTTGAAAAATTACACTACTTTTGGTTTTTAAGAAATAGTGTATAATTAGATATGCCCTTATGTTTAATCCTAGAGATTGTCAAACTTCACGAAAAGTTCATTATTTATTAAGCTTTCAAACGGTATAAAAATATCCATAATTTCTCTTGTATTGTAGTAGATTAGTTGCGTATCAATTGTTTAAAAACGTACATGAGATAAATAGACCCCCTAACCATCTCTAGAACTGTTTGCTTTTCAAGTTTTATAATTTTATCCACAATAACCTATTGAAAGATTTACAAGCGTACACATTACAAATTGTTTTCAAAATGATGACCACGATGTCTGACACACTCGTGTCGATGAAATGGTTCTAAGTTTCTCAGATGCTTCGAGGATTTTAATCCTTCTGCACTGATCACTACCGAGTGTTCCTACACCCCACATGTCCGTTCCTGGTCGAACCAGCGATATTCCACGTGTATTGGTAGAGAAGGAGTCATCCTGTGGCCACCTGGTTCCCCAATCTTACTATCATGGAAGTCTCCGTTTGGAGATTCCTTAAGGAGAAGATGTACAGTTCAGTAGAAAATCCAGTGATGTTTGAATCCCCTGGTAGCCCTGATGATATATATTTGTCTTATTCTCAAGTAAGGTAACGTTCCCATAGAAAAAGTAACAAAAAATCGTAACTCGTCAGGGATTGAACATAGGTATAGCGACTGGAAGTTGGAAGTTGTTGCAAATAGAGTGTACTATCATCCAAAATTTTTTCGCACTTTATCTGGGACACCCTATATACAATAATAATAATTATTATTTGGAGATCGTGACATGCGGTCTGGTGTGACGTAAGTTTAGAAAAACATTTTCGTTCAATCTTGATTGAGATCATCTTCAGGGCTCAAAGTGTTTGTATTCTGTGCAGATGTGTCATTACTGTGTGTCGTGTTGAGACACAATAATAATAGTGCTTTATTTGTTATAATGCAGTAATAAAAAAATAAAATTACTTGTTGGATTAGAGAGGAGCGTTCAGGAATGAAGTATTTTAGAAAAACACCTATTTCATTTTTTACCGACGTTTAGACCTTTATTCGGGTGGGGTCGGGTCAAAATTTAGCCTAGTTGAGTTGTCCGGAAAATAACGCAGGTTTATGGTTATAAAATAAAAACAATTAAATAAATTATTTTAAACATTTTTTTATTAATTGAAATACTCTCTATCACCCCCACTACACTTCTCCCACGTGATATCTACACCCTTTGCATAAAATTTTGAGTCTTTATTATTAAGAAATTCTGCAAACGCATTTCCTAACGTCTTTTGATCAATAAATTTGAAGAATAGTAATCGGTATGCGAGAGGTCTGGAGAATAGGGAGGGTGAGGCAGAACCTCATAACCAAGATCCAACAGTTTTCGTATTGCATGCGAGTCATAGCACATTTCAGCATGAGTTGTTTCGCTAGGATTCAAGAAGCTGTAATAAATCTGCCGAAATGAATCCCACCAAAGAGTCACCATCAACTTTTTTTGATGAGGTAGGGGCTTGGAAAGTGTGGTGCTGCTTCTCCTTTGTCGAGCCCCTGTCCAGAACGTCTAGTGTTATCGTTGAGAATCCACTTTTCATCATAAGTAACAATTCTATCCAGGAAAAGTCCGCTTCCGTTTCGGCAACGAAGTGTTGCGCAAACTTTATAACTATGATTTTTTGGGGGCGTAAGGAACTTAATTTTCGGGCTTTTACACCTTTCCAATGACCTTAAGGTGGTCAGCGACGGTCGATTTGCTGACTGAAAGATCCTCTGTAAGTAGCTAAACAGTTGTTCTGGGATTTTCTTTGACCAAAGCTTGCAGAACATCCTCTGGGGAAGAAATCCTTCCACCTTCTTTGTTTTCAAGGCTAAAGTCATTTTTTAAACCCACTCTGAACGGTGTTCTCACACTGCCATTGCCCCAGACTTTGTTATTGTTTGGGCACCGTTCCGACCGAGTTTAAACTCGTGAAACGAAATTACGCGAAAATTATGCGTTGACTTCTTAGCAAACACTGAATTATTCCCAAGGAACGAATTGGTACTGAGGTAAACAAACATTTTTGTCTGAAAGAGGATCGGTGGAAAAGTGTTGTCATTTGTACAAAAGAATAATCTATCAAATGTACACAGTTTATTATATACAGGAGTAATTGAAAGAAAACAAGAAAATCTGCATTATTTTCCGGACAACCCAATTTCATCTCTAGACAGGGAACTGCGGCCTAGGTGGAGCAGAGGAATTTCTTTTAAAAACGTGCATTCTGCTAAGAAATGGTACACGTCCTCTCTACCTTCGAGTTATGTAGAGAGCACAGGGCAGAAGGTCCCTCCATCCAGGGGATGTAATTTACCCACAGTAGCTCATAACTCATTTTAATAACGCACTGCAAATCACCTAAATTCCGATGCTGATTATAGTCAGACAATAAATGGCGGTGGAAAACTGTATGATCGAAATCCTTATATAGCAAAAAACGAGTTGACGTCAGAGCAAGCCTCACAGACGCCTCCTGATTATAAATATTTAACTTTTGTGTAAACTCTCTCAAAAATATATACAAGAATAACGATAGTAAAGTTTATCTATATAAAATTCTTAAATAAAATCAAGTTTCACCTTCCACTAGTAAAATGGAATAAATGAAACTTTTGAAAGAAAAATAAATTATTTTGCGCGATATTGTCCCACCTAATTGAATGGTGAAATTCCTTGGCTCCATATCGAATAGCATGTAGGAATGCAATGATATAAAACTTGTGCGAAATCGGAAAAAGCGACGCAGATAGAACTGCCGTTTTCAAGCATTTGTCATGGCATTCCTCTCTATTTAGAGCCAAAGAATGGCACGCTTTAGTAAAGTTTATAAAGTGAGTTTGGTGCAGCAAGAGGGTGTACCCAGGTAAACGACGGGGGATTATTGTTTGCGACGCAGTATTTTTTTTTTCTTTTTTTCTTAACGAGGGTATTTCAACTACGAGGTTATATGAATCTCGGTTGTTTTTGAAAAAAAAAAACCATTTGTAAGTATGTCACTGGATTCGAACCCGGGACCTTTACCTTACATTTATGAGCGCAGGGTCAACGATCGATGCAGCCATCGCCGACCCGACGGTCACGACAAGTCACGAAGCTTCGACCTGTAAATATGTTTGCTTAATAAACTGTGTATTGAATTTTGCTTTTCTTGGCTTCCTTGAGTAGCAACTACTTCACATACTATCCACTCGATATCCCTTTACACTCATTATATGACTAACCTAATTGATGGTCATCCAAAAGCTTAGCTGTCTAGGGCGTGCTTTGCCCACAGCTTTCGGACGTTCCAATTCGGTTTTCAGTTCTTCATTGTCTTATTTTTATGTTAATATACTATGTTTGTATTCAAGATAGTTTACTTGGATGTTCTTTTTTTCTATCCAAAGGCCAGTTGAATTTTTATCAAATACTGCATGCTGAGTTGGTGAACTCTAACGAACCTCTTACTGAAACTTCAATTGACGTGTGTACTTTTTGCTTTCACTCTTTCCACGTTTCATTTAAACGTACGTTTTTGTTTTCTCATCACTCAGGCTAGGTGAAAGTCTAATTTTACCCTA